TCTATGCCTTTGCTTCCTAGAGCTTGCCTCTGTTTCCTTTTGCCTCCTCCTGCCCCGCCATCACTTTCCCCTTCTTCCACCTCTCAGTGTTTCCTCTCCACTAGCTTGGTGTTGCTGTAACACTCACAGGATCTCTACCCTCTCCTAGAGGCTGGTTCCGCTTCCCTAGTTGTTCCCCTGTCCTTGACACCGTCCGCTCACCACACCCTTCTCCCCACCTCCTTCTTCCCCCTCTACCTTCCGGGGCCATTGGCCCCACTGCCTTCTCCCTAGGCTTCCCTCCCATGTCCAACCCATATAATTAGGCAAATGATCCATGTCCTAGTCCGACCAATAAGAAAACATACGGTTGAAGAAAAAAGGAAAAAGAAAAAGACGAGAGAAAAAGAGAAAGTAAGAAAGAAAGAAAAAGGGAAAAAACAAAAAAACCCTACATAGGTCCAGGTCTGCTTTCTGGTCCCCATGAAACCGTCCCTGCTGGTCATAAGGGAGATCTGGGGGCTGCCCCTCATCCCAAAGTCCTTCTTGGGCCTCCTCGGGGCTTAGCACAGAATTTAAGGATCCCTGGTGGCATAGTGGTTATGCATTGGGTTGCAAACCATAGTTCAAAGCCACCAGCCACTTTCTTCTCCCATAAAGAGGTTCGGAAACCCGCAGGGGCAGTTCTACCCGGACCTGTAGGGTCACTGAGTCGGCATGGATTCAACGCGCTGGAGGTGCGAGTTGAGCACAGGGTTTGAGAGCGCCTGTGCTCGTCCATTCTATACTCAGGATGTTTTATTTTCCCACGTCCTGAGGGAGACTCAGTGCCTGTCATCTTCCATTTTTAATCTTCCTTTCCTGGTATCCTGCCTATTCTCCCAGGATCTTGAGATGAGCCATCACGATAAGATGGAGCTGAGCTTCCTTGTAGATTCTTGTTAGAAGTCCTGTTTTTCCGCAGTTGAGCTGTGCTTGGCTGGAGCCCATCCTTCGCTCTGTGGTAGAATGACAGGCCAAGATTTATCCTTTCATTAATACCCTTTTTGCCGGAACAAAAAAATGGAGCATGAATGCACACAGCCTTGGGCTACTGACTCAGGTGGTTACCTTCTCTGGTATTTGGTTTCCTATCACCTCCTTAACGGGCTTGGCGGCACTAAAGGCTTTTCAGGGGGAAGCTGGGTGCGAGTGGGTGGGCCGTGGGGAGTCTGACCCCAATTTCTCTGTAGGGTCAGGAGCACGTCCAAGTGGCAGATCCACTCCTCGAAGGAGGCAGCCCATGGAATGTTCACCACTTCCTGGGCCCATCCCCCTTACTCCAAAAGAAGATGTTCAAGGAGAAGCCTTTTTAAACGTGATACGTGAGGTTTCATAAAATAAAAATTTTCCTACAGTCCCTTTTCATATATGCCCCACCCCCTCATGAAAAAGAAAGCAACATAAGCAACATAAAGTGGTCACCCCAGGGGCAGGGGCTACTCCCTCCCTCCTCCTTCCCTCCCTGCCTTCTCATCGAGGCTCAGCATGGTCATGCCACTAAAGCATGCGGGTGACCGGCGGACATGGAAGATCTCCGTCCTAAAAAACGTTTGCTTCCCACTTCGTGGTGGAGGCAGTACTAGATTCTGCAAGGGCCGGGGGACTTTTTCATACTCGGAGAATTGGGAGAAAGTTAAGAAATCCACCAAGAGGGTGGATTTGTATAGGGCAGTGATTTGTGACCATGGTGACCTAGGCGCAGCTCCTGGAGACTTAGTAAAATAATAGTGCTCTGGAGACACCCCAAACCTATTAAGCAGTGTGGGTGGGGTACAAGGATGTAACTACCCAGAAAACCTCTCTGCTGACTTGGAGAAGCAGCTCTGGTTAAGAAGGCCTGGCTGCGGCCTTAGTTTAGGTCCCAGGGATTTAGTCTTTTGGGAGGGACACATGATCCTGATGCAGCGCATTTGGGATGGAGTGTAACCTCTCATTCACCCTGACAAACCCAGCAATTTCTCAGTAAGACGAATGACTTCTAAGCGCCTCTTGCTCAGTCTAAAAAACAAAATCCAAACCCGCTGTCATTAAGTCAGCTCTGACTCACGGCGACCCTGTGTGCTACAGTAGAACTGTACTCTGTGGGGTTTTTCTGGCTGTAATCGTTACAGACGCAGATTGCCCGGCCTTTCTCTCACAGCACTGCTGGTTGGGTTTCTCCCGCCAACAATCAGGTTAGCAGCCAAGCTCAAACCAAATGCACCCCCCAGGGACCTTTGGCCAGTAGGAAGCTCAGTTTTAAGAGAAAGACAAATAGAGAACGGATCCCTTTCAATGAACAGAACAACAGGAGGCAAGAACAGGTGTGTGCCTAGGTCATTTGCCCCCGTAACATTAAAGACAGATTTTGGGAGCAGCCTTCTACAGCTTAAAGCTCTCCGATCTATTTTGTTGCATCCAACGCTCATACAAAAGGGATTCACCCTGCTTCCGTGAGGTCCCCTCTGGATGGTTTTATTACTTTTTAGCTTGGAGTGCATTGGTCTGTCCAGAAGCCTTCCTATTCCCCACCACCTGAAGTGGAATCCAGGGGCCACGTCTTTTTTTTTTTTTTTT